TACCTAATTTCATCTCTCTCCTTTAGTCTAAAGTTACCTCAAATTGGTTAATCTCTCTATACCCAATTTCATCTCTCTCTCCCCAAAAAATATTTCATCTTTGTCTTTTCTCTTCCCTCTCTCATATCAAAGAACCAAAATCACTTCCTCATTGCCCTCTTTCTTATATTCCAGATCATTTGAGTTATTGGTATATCTCTGTCCGCAATGCTCAGCCCCAAGAATGCCAGTATGGCTTTTTGCCAAACTTCTTACAAATCCATCTACACAAACCCCAGTTACTACCTTTCTCTCCTCTCTGCAAAATAAACCCATTAAAACTAAGTACTTAACATCTCTCATTTCACTCGGTGTAGAGTGTAATAAGCTCGGTTGATGTAATCTTCGGTACTCTCTTTTTTGTTTCTTGTTATATTTATTTCTTATGTCTTTTATTATTCCCAAGCATAGCATTGTGATTTTCTTTGGTTAATAAAAAAAAGGTTTTAGTGGCATCAAGTTTAGATCCTAGATTTGTTTTTTTTATTTCTTTTCATATCAATTATATTGTAATGGACTACTTCTGAGTGATTTAAGTCGGAAAAGAAAAAGAAAAAGAGAAGAAGAAAAAAAAAAGAAAAAGAATACACCGGCTAGATTACATAAGTCCAAACGTTCATTCTAATCTTATTAACTTAATGTATTACGGAAGGTTAAAGGAAAAAAAAGGGATTAAAACGCCTCTTACCAACTTTATCAGACAAAAGGATAAAAAGATGTGAGGATAATGAAATGAAGGAAAAGGCACTTTCAAACTTACCCTTAAACTTAAAAGAAAAAAAGAAAGAGAAAAGGAAAAAAAAACATTAGAAAAAATGATGAAAAAAGAGAGAAAAAAATATACTAATTTAGAGAAAGTACCGAGGAAACTTTATGTTACATGTTTTCTATTATGAAGTTTTTCAACTTTACGATGCTTCATGAATATCTCTTTTTCACCTCCCTTTCACTAGGCTTTGAAATTAGGTTTCGTAATATAAAAATTTATAAATACGATATGATTATAAATGTTTTCTAAAATTAATATAACTAAGTCGAATTACGTGCACGTAAAATTGCTTGGTAGAAGAGTGACCAAATATTTAATCACCAAAGAGATCTATTAGGCAATAGTTTGATGTTAGATATTAAAAAGCATAAAAATTACTTTTCTTAACTATTATTTGTTATAAACTTTTTAAAACCAGACATAGAACTTTTTTATTTTTGTGTTAAAAAAATACTTTAATATGATACTGATTTTTGTTTTGTTTATAAAAAAGAAAAATGTGGCTTGTATAGGTTGTATAAAACTTTACAAATTTAGAACTATATGATAAAAATAGTTAAAAACTACTCTTATGGGGAAAATAACTTCTCCAAGAATGTACTATTTTGTATTGAGAAAATCTTTAAAAAATATGTTAATGTGTTATGGAAAATTGAAATCATTTAAAATTCCAAAATTAAAAATATGAAAGATTTTAAAACTAACTTTTTTTATTTTAAAACTTATGATTTTAAAGAAAAGTTTTAAAATATAGGAAAGTAAAAGTATAACATAAATAGAAAATATAAAAAAGTAAGAAACTCAGCCATAAACTATTTTTTAAGCATAAAAGTACATACTTCAATTTTCGAATTTCAAATTTTTTTTTCAAAAATGAATAAAATTAGTATCATATTATTATTATTATTTTCTACTTCTTATATTTTTATTTCATATAACATAAGCTTTAGTAGTTATTTAAGTGGTAATAAAAAAAAATAAAGAATTAAAAATTATTTTAAAGATTAAAAAGTTTAAATTTAAAATTTCAAAATTTAAATATTAGAAACTGGTTTGGTATTTTTATGTATTTGCTAGTTTTCATAAAATAACCCAAAAGTAATGTTAAAAACACATAAAATTTTCATGAAAAATTTGAAATTCATAATTAAATGAAAAATAACTATATTAAAAAAAAGGTTATCAAATTACACTCGTTGTTGATGAAACATTAGTATTTATACAGTTTCTTCAAAATTATATTAGCTTATAAGAGTTTTACTTGTGATAACAACATTAAGCATCCAATAAAAACCACACAACAAATAAAATTTTTGGAACATAAAATTTTATTAGCAATTATGAGTTGTCATATTAGGTACTTTGAAGAAAATAGTTCAATAATATGATTGTGAGCCAAAAAAAATGTATATAGTGAGGTGATTGTGAAATTCAATAAAATAAGTACATCCCTTTTTGGTACAATTTCACTCTCAATCTTGTTCTACTATGGAAATGAAGGAGTACCATTTGAAAGTTTAATGAAAAATATAACTTATCTAAAAAAGATGAATATGATCGTTGAGCTTCATAGACTGGCGAGAATACTTGCACAAAGTAACATAATTAGAAAAATATGAACACAGAAAACAATAAAAATTAATTTAAAAAAATACAAATTAAAAAATTAATACAAAAATTATAGGAAACTACATTCAGATAATATAAAATAATAAAATAATAAAACAAATAGCAAATATCAATTGAAGATGTTAAAGGCAATAGTTAAACCATATGTAAATCTACTCTACATATATGGGTGATGAGAGACGCTATGTCTCTAGAATTTTTGGGTTTGTATCTCCATTCATGCTCCACAATTCACACATAATGAAAGGCAAAGCTACTCACCCCATAAGTTTTATATATTATCAAAAAATAAAATTTTTATTTCCTTGAGGACACAATTGGAAATTTTAGGAAAATTTTCCTTAAATTTGTTCTTGTATTCTTATCTAGTAGTTCACTATATTCAATTATATACATAAGATAAAGCAAGATATTATCTTTATCTAAAATTAGAAGAACCCTTAGATCTTCACTTAGATAAATCTTCAATGATCTATGTCCTTCATTTTCTCTCCATTTCTCACACTTACTTCTCTCCCTTAAATCTATCTATCTCCTTGATTTACTTTCCATTCCTCTCCACTTCTCTCTCTCCTTTAAAGATAATTATTCAAGTTTCTTTCTCCCCATTAAGATGGAAAGCTATCTATCCCTTGATTCTCTCTCTTACTCCTCTCTCTCTCACAATTCTACCCCACATATTCTCTCTCTCAAACTCTCAAGTCTAATCCATTTCTCTCTCTCCCCCTCTCTCTCCTATCTCTATTAAATATTGTTTTTTTTGATAGAATTCAAAATTTATTCAAAAAAATGTACAGATTACATCAACAAATCCACAGTATCAGCGATTGTCAATGAATCCAAGAGAACTCCCCTCTTAGCCAAAGAATCAACCACACCGTTAGCCTCCCTATACATATGTTCTAGAGATAAAGACAATAAAGACAAAAAAGCGAAAATCTGCTGCCCGATCAATTTAAGTTGCCAAGAAAGCCGTTGTTCTTTCTTGCACCATCTAATAACATTAAGTGAATCCCCGTCAATAATAAAATCACCTCCAAAATTTTTGTCCACAATAAGTTTCAAACTATTCAAAACTCCAAGTAATTCAACATGGTTAGCTATTGAACTACCGCAAAGTCCAGCATATGCAAGTAAAACATTCCCTTAGCAGTCTTGGATTACTCCACCAAAACCAACTAGACTTGGATTCCCTAAAGAGCTACCATCAAAATTCAACTTTAGGACTCCCTGATTTAGTGTCTTCCATCTAACACAGGGTCTATTTCTAAGCACATCCAATTGAAAAAGATTCGAAAGATTAATCATAACATCAGTTTTGAAAACTATTTTAGGAGGGAAAGAGAGCGTATGTACTCATTTTAATATAGGAGAACAATATTTAAGAGAATTTGGTGGTGGTTTTTTCAATTGATGGGGATAAAGTTATTATTACCACAAAATGTTTTGGATCTGATTGGTCAAATGGATGTACCTCTATCAAAAGTTGGAGACCAATTTAGAAAGTTTTATGGGGAGCTATTATGTGGGAAGTCTGGTTGGAAAGAAATAGGAGAACCTTTGAAAAGGTGGTTTCTAGCTTAGAAAGAGTGATCAATAACATCAAATTAAGTATCCGGTCGTTGTTATCAGTTACTAAAGAGGGTTGGGGTATTTAGTACTCTATCTCTCAAAAATAGAAATATGTCCTATAATCTCTATAGAATTAAGACCTATTCTTATTTTCACAACACTTATCCACCCTTTAACCCTAGCTTAATAATATAGTATAGATATAGATATAGATAATATAGATATATATACATATTGTACTAAAATGGTGACCAAGACTTTCTCTATACTACAATGATAACCAGGGCTTTCACTAGGTTAATAAGAGATGCAACATTGTGAGGAAAGGCCTTTTTTATATCTCTAAAGGGCAAAGATATGTTGAATCTTTATTTCTCTCTAGGTTAGTAAGGAGGTGCAACGGGTTAATACCTTTCTTTCACTAAAGAGATGCAACAGTTTAATTTTTTATTTTTTTTATATGGAGATGCAACCTTAAGAAAAGTAACATAATCTTTATTTTTTCAACATGGATTCACCCTTTAATTATAGCTTAATAATGTAGGATAGGATATGATGGTTTAAAATTTGAAAAATTGTTTCATGTGGGCTGGACCGCATGACTACATATGCGGTTTAAAAAGAGTAGAGTATCTATATTAAAGATGGATGCAAGTAGACGTTTTATTTAAAAACAATAGAAACTAATGGTTTATATGTTTTTTTATTAGAATTATTATTTTTAATTTTTAAAATTAATTTATTTTTTAATATTCATAATCTCGATGTTAGAGATTATATGTTTTTTAAAAATTAAATTTAAAAATCAATCTCAAAAATAAATTTATTAATAAGCCCGCATTTCTACCTATGCTAGCTTGGCCGCGCAGAAACCGGGTCGTAAATAATTAGCTTAATAATGTAGCATAGGGTAGGATGGCGCGCAATAATGCGGGATGGGATAGACAATAGAAATTAATATTTAATTAACGGGCCATCTTTCCTGTCAACCCCTTTTTGAGAGCTTTTGTGAATAGCAACTCTTGCCAACCAAACTCAAATTAAGACACAGGCACACATTCTCTCTCCCTCTTTCATCCACATGCACACATTCTCTCTCTCTCTTCCATCCACAGGCACACATTCTCTCTCTCTCTCTATCTTCTCTCTCTCTCTCTCTCTCTCCCTTAATTGCTCACTTACGCCATTTGTGTGATGAGTTGGTGGATCCATTAAACTCCCTGCTGAGGTGAAAAAGGTACCATTTCTTCATCCTCTTCCCCTTTCTTTCTTTTCTGAGAACAATTTCCGTATTCATCACTTATTTCCAAAGTTTCGACCTTTAACAACGCTTCTGAGCTCGGGATACCCCATCATTCATTTAAATGGATTTGGGCAATAAGGAAGTGGAAGTGGAAAAATGGAAAATAAGCAGATTAGAACCATTCCCCAATCCAAGAATCTAGGTCAAATTAGGGTTTCTTCAATTCATGGAGCTCTGGTTCTGCACACAATGGGGGAACGGTGTTTCATGGAAATCTGGTTGGAAAATGGTGGGTGGTTGTCGAGACTCGAGCCATTGATTTGATGATCTGACGTGATGAGCCGAGCTTCATCGCTCTCCCCAAAGCTCGATCCCAATTCTAGGCCTGATTTGAACGCTCTGAAACAATGGGTTGTTGGGTTCTGCATAATTAGGTTTGATCTCGAACAGGGGCAAGTGATCGAGGAGTGTTACCCACCCGGTTTGTTCAGTCAAGATGAGGAGCTCGACATTGCTTTCAGTTCATTCCCTGACTCCATGTCTCAGCACCAGAATCGGTCGAGTATCCATGACTGTATGTTCTTCTTTCGATTCAGGAGAAGGGGAACACCCCCAATTAATAAATTATCAGAAAATTCAGAAGAAATTGTAGTTGAAGAGCAGTCTACTTCACAAATTTCAGATGTGATTTCACTGAGAAATGGTGTCTCTCGAGAGAGAGCTGGAAGTGGTAATGGCAGTTGGGCTAATAATTTGCTTCCAAATGCCATCACGAACAAAATTTCCAATGGGTTGAAGAGCATATATTCACCCGAAAATAAAAAATTGGGTTCTTCTGGTTTGCTGTCATCAAAAGAGAGCTTGCATATTCTCAAAAGGTCAAGCTCCCATCATGGTTCTAGAGTTAAAGGAGGGCCTAAATACCTCTATGGCTATGTTTTCAATAGACAGAGGCAGGACGAAAGGTTGAAGCGTGGAGGAGAACAGAAATCAGTCGTGATCTTATCTTATAGACCCTACTCTAGCGTTTTTAAGCCTCTATTACAGATCTTGGGGCATTTATGCTTCGATATTGGTAAGAAAGCTCTTGAGCACATTGCATTTTATGTATCTAAATGGCCAACTCCTCAACTTGGTAAGCTAATGGAACTTCCTATAGGAAGTGCTACTCTGAAAGTCTATCTTCCTCCTGCTCATTGCTTGCCTGCTGATGATGGGAGCTTAGAGCAAGAGTCGTTTTCAGGCATGGCTCCTTTTACCCCCACAAATCAATATGTTCCGCAAGGTATTTTTCATGAAACTGATATTTTTGGGATATTTAGGGGTATTTTATTGCAGCTGTGGGTGCTATGGGAGATCCTGATTATTGGGGAGCCATTGCTTATATTTTCTCCCACACCTTCACAGTGTTGCGAAGCAGTTGCAGGACTTATCAGTTTGGTGGCTCCCCTTTTCTGTAGTATTGATTTTCGACCTTACTTCACTATTCATGACCCCGATTTTGCACTTCTTAATTCACTTAAAGAAGGAGATCGATTCCCTTCAATGATCCTTGGAGTAACAAATCTCTTTTTCTTGAAGGCTTTACGTATCATACCTCACGTTGTTTCAGTTGGTTCTCCTATTCCAAATTCAAGCAAGCTTGCCCTTGTTTCGAACGAAAGGAGCAATACCCAAGAGAAATCAAATCCTAATCAGTTATCTTTAAATAAGTTCTCACCCTCGAATTTGTTGAATGCTGTGAAAATGAGGAGAGAGGGGCCTCTTATTCTCATGACTGAGTATAAAGAAGCAGTTTGGAGCTCGTATAATGCGACCACAAAGCCGGACACTGGTGTCTTGAACCGGCTTGTGGATGCAGGGTTGTCACCTAGAATCGAAGAGTCCATGTCAGTTGTGAATAACGAGATCTTACGAAGGCATTTCTTGGAGCTCACGACCAATTTCCTTGCTCCGTTTGGGCCTTACTTTAGGGCTATCACACCATCTGAAGGAACATCACCTTTCTGTGATCCACCACCTCTTCCTGCCTTTGATGCTCGTGAGTTTTTGGATGGCCTATCTGCAAGAGGTCCAGGAAAATTTATGTCTAAAAGGATGAGAGCAAACTGGCTGGACCTTTATAGGTAATCCAAATGTGCGACAGCTGCTGATTTGCTCCTTTTGTTTATCTTCATGAGGAAGGATGCCATACATTATACATCATTGGTGTATAGTGCTACTTCCCCAATTTAGTAATGTTGGAGTCTGTTTTCTTACTTGTCATTCTATTAATAGGCGCTTCTTGACTGGGCACAACTTTATGCCATGGTTCCGAAGAAGGCGGTCCATTGCTGAGCTAGAGCAGCATAGACTGTGGAGGCAGGTTAGGATGAAGGCTGACATTCAGCAGTTCGTCTCAAAAATGAGTGAATTGGAGATTGTTGATTGTTTCCACTTCATTGAAAGGCATATTCTTGGAGAGATACAGGTAGACAGCTCTTCCAGTGTTGTGCTAGTTTCTTGTATAGTTTTACTTTTCTGCTGTGATCTTGTATGATTGAAAAAACGATCTGTGTAAATCATATGGTAATCTTGAAACACCATAGAGATTTGTCTAATTTCTTCATGTCCACAAAAGAATGCATTCTACATCCTAAAACGATGGTTATGTTTCTCCTTTATATTGGTCTTGCTAGAAGATTAGCATAAGGGATTCAAAACACCAAATGTACCTTACCCTTTTCTAGGGCAATGTTTTGATAAAAAGCTCTATGCTATACATCCGAAAACTCATTTATGCTGGCATGATTTTTTAGGCCAGCCATAGCCAATCGCATTACAATATTTGTCACCTAACGCTATTGCATTCCTGATTTACTTTTGGTGTTCTTCTATAGATCTTGAGATAATTTTGGAGATAATTTGTTTATATGTGTCATTGTGTGTGCTCTAGTGACATTTGTGATGTGTTGGTTGTTTTGGCATCTATCCGTTGAAGTGTTACATATATTGTACATCGATATAAATTGATATATATGAATTTGTATTTTATGCTTACCTTTATGCTTAATGTGCATTTTATATGCTATGGTTTCATGGAAACTTGTAGCAGGTGGGAAACACATTAGAACAATAGGAAGAATCCAGTTACAAAAATTATTGTCAAACATGATTATCGGAATAAGAAATGGTGGCCAACACGCTAGAATTCCTCTGAAGTTTTGCATTTCCCATTGCCGCTTCTACATGTTTCCTTCTTATCTCCATCATGTGTCAATTGCGTTCCTCTCAACTTCACATGTATTTTTGTCATTGTTCCAATAGGCGGACCGCCCAGCACCTCGGCGGTCTAGATGGCCTGCTGGGCCTAGGTGGCCAAAATAAGCGGTCTGCCCCTAGGCGGTTGCCTAGGTGGTAGGGCATCGCCTAGGCGGGCGCCCAACGCCTAGCCCTGGGCAGCCGCTCAGGGCCTGCACCCCACCTAGGGCCGGAAATGCCCATTTTTTAGGGGCATTTTTGGGTTTTTTGTGAAAAAAAAAGGTTGAAAGGTGGGTTTTAGGTTCATTTAAAACCCAAACCCCATTTGAGCCCATTTTATAGAGAGAGAACCTCAAAAAACTAGATTTTTGTGATTTTCATAGGATCAAAGGGTTTCCAAAGTTATGAGAAATCAATCCAAACATCACCCATTGAGATTAGATTTAGTTTTAAAGTTTTTTTTAAGTCTATTAAAGGGTGTTGTAGAAGATTTTGGCACTAGAAAACTTCTCAGAACTGGAAGTTTGGAGATCGAGCAATCAAAGTAAGTGCAAAATTTTATTTTTTAGATTGCTTGCATTATTTTGAGATGTTTTCTTCAAGATCTAGTTGAAGTGGTGATCCGGGTTGAAAATATAACTATAACCCAAGTCTTTTGGATAAAAATTGCATAAGATGCAATTATTATGAAAAGGATGCAAAATGGGGCATAAACCGATTTAATGAAACATCTTGCTGGTATTAGGGGGAATGTGCCCCATGTAAAAATGTTCCTAAAGCTATAAGAGCGTAGATTAAGCAATATATGAGTTTAGTAAATACAAACAGGAACAAAATCCTTGTCAATTGGATAATTCTATTTTTGGCTCTGCTAGGAGAGGTGATCTGGGTTGGAAGTATGGTTATAAGCCAAAACCAAACGATATAAATTGTATAAGGCGTAATTTTTGTGAAACGGTACTAATGAGGTATTAACAGATTCAAGCAACACCTGGCCAGTATTAAAGGGAATGTGGCTTCTTGTAAAAAAGTTTCTGAAGCTATTAGGTATGAGATTAGACAATATTTGAATTTAGTAAAACAGAAAAGGAAGAAAATGAGACTTGTTATATGGAAATATCTTCTCCAGGTTCTTCTAGAAGTGGTGATCTGGGTTGGAAGTATGGTCATAACTCAAATCTGAATGACGAAAATTGTATAAAGTGTAATTATTGTGGAAAGGATACGAATGGAGGTATTTACTGGTTCAAAAAACACCTTGCCAGTATTAGGGGGGATGTTGCCTTGTGTAAAAATGTTCTTAAGGCTACTAGGGAGGAGATTAAACAATATTTGAGTTCATTGAAACACAAAAGTAGGAAAAGGGTGAAGAGACACCAGGTAGAGCAGCCAAGACTCCTAGGGCCTCATTTGTACAGAGTAAGAGGGGGGTAGAAGATAATGAGAAAGAGGCAGATTCAAAAGAAACAGAGGGGGGTAGAAGAAAAGGAGGAAGAGGCAGATTTAGAAGAAACAAAAGGGGGTAGAAGAAAAGGAGGAAGAGGCAGATTCAGAAGAAACAGAGGAGGACGAGCGTTATGTTGAAGATGTAGATGACTCTGATGATGATGGCCTCGAATCTGATGCATATGATGAGGCTTAGCCTACTCCTTTTAATGATGATGACTGAAGACATCTGACTCTTGGTATTGAATCTTAAATTGTATGTTTTCTTTCTCTTATTTTTTAGTTTCTTTTATCTACTCTTATGTGCATTCTTGTATGGTTGTATCATTGTATAGAAATATGGATTATCGACCCGCTACTATCTACTCTTCTTCTTATCCACTTTTATTTTCTTATTTATCTTATGATTCGAGGCCACCCAGGTTCTGGGCGGCTGCCTAGGAACTGGGGGACCAGGGCCCCCTCGGCTGCCTAGGCACCACCCGGCATTTTTTGGATCATTGGTTTTTGTACTTCCTCAGTTTCCGTACATTTCTGGATTGTTCATTTGAGAAGCGGTAGCTTCCGCGCCATAAAAAAAGGCCTCCTTCCTTTCTTAGTTAGGCCGGCCGCGGAAGCGAGAAGGGTGAGCTTCACTAGCTTCTATCAAGGAGGCGAGAAGTCGCTTCTAAAAGGGGAGGGGGGGGGGGAGACTTGCTTTCTTTCTTGTTGATGTAGGACTAATGAATGGTTTTTGTGACGGAGGGAATCCTGTGCCACTACAGTAATGTTAGTGGTGGCGAAACGAAGGATCGAACAAAGCGTTTTGAAGCCGAAGAATAGCAAGAGGGCCATTACTCATTCTTCAGTTGTTATCCCCGGGATTTTGAAGTTGCCACTCACGAGTGTTGGATTGAAGTAGAGAGCCCTTGAAATAAATAATGAGACCAGCCCTCCTCCAGATAAGTAGCATATTATGGCTAGTAGATTAGTATATAAAAAACGTACAAGGCTGATGGCTCTATTTAGAAATTCAAAGCCTGTGTGGTTGCCAAGAAATGGAGAGCTCTCCCCCTTTTTCGCTCGACTGTTTGGTCTTAAGAATGTTGGTTTTAAGAATGAGTGATTGCCCTTCTCCGACCCTTACTACCCAACCGGAGAGTGGACAGCTAATGCGTTCCACTTATTGAACAGGGTATATGGTCGGTCTTAGACCCTTGGATGCCAAAGGCATCCTTGGGGTGATCTAATAGTTCCTACGGGGTGTAGACGATGGGTCGGGCCATGTATTTTTCTTCCTTTTGGCCCATTTCGCTCAAAGGGTTGAAGGGAGAGTGCATCAATTTGTTTGCAAGGGCTAACTTGATCCCATGGGAAGACTTGCTTTCTTTCTTGTTGCTGTGGGACTAATGAATGGTTCTTGTGACGGAGGGAATCGTGCGTCACTACACTAGTGCTAGTGGTGGCGAAGCGAAGGATCGAACAAAGCGTTTTTGAAGCCGAAGAATAGCAAGAGGGACACTCCTCATTCTTCAGTTGTTATCCCCGGGATTCTGAAGCAGCCACTTACGAGGGTTGGATTGAAGCAGAGAGCCCTTGATAAAAATAATGAGACCAGCCCTCCTCCAGATAAGCAGCATATTATGGCTAGTAGATTAGTATAGAAAAAATGTACAAGGCTTATGGCTCTATTTAGAAATTCAAAGCCCGTCTGGTTGCTGAGGGATGGAGAGCTGTCCTTGTTTTCCGCCCGACTATTTGGTCTTAAGAATGCTGGTTTTAAGAATGCGTGATTGCCCTTCTGAAACCCTTATTACCCAACCGGAGAGTGGACAGCTAATGCGTTCCACTTATTGAACAGGGTATATGGTCGGTTTGTGACCCCTGGATGCCAAAGACGTCCTTGGGGTGATTTAATAGTTCGTATGGGGTGTAGACGATGGGGTCGGTCCATGTATTTTTCTTCCTTTTGGCCCATTTCGCTCAAAGGGTTGAAGGGAGAGTGCATCAAACTGTTCGCAAGGGGTAACTTGATCCCATGCGACCACACCTCCAGCGGTACTCGCCGTTTCACTAGCCATGTGGAGGGGCAGGATGAAAACACCGATTTTTGTGAAGAATGATAGAGGATGAGAGAGGAGTCAGCTTATTGACTATTGTTGGTTCGGCCATTGATCGTGCAAAGGTGCTTCAGACAACAGATCAATTCATAGCAAGACAAGGGCCCGTTTCAGCCAAGGTGTAGAGTGGAACGCCTTCTGCCCGCTGCTTACGAGGATTAGTGAGGAATGTTGCAAATCCCAATTTGATGTGTAGCATAGACACATCAAAGCACTCGCTACTATGGTAAGGAGCGATTTTATGTTATGCATAGGCTCCACATCCAATTGCTCCGCGGTCCACGTAACCATCTCATCTGGCCATTCATGCAATCAATAGGGCATTTGGCTTGCTAAACCAAAAAAGTCCTTTCTGACGGGGAACGAACCGAGGAAGTCACTCAACGTAGCGTTAGAGGTCCCATTTCACCCAACCAATGACAGTGGGACGCTTGAAGGTAGGAAAGAGATGACCAAAAACGAAGATTGCCACTACTGGCTTCGCAAACCATTGAACTTTACCTTCGCTAGTGTTATTTGTTCTAGTGCTGCCACCTTCTATTTGTTTGTATGTATGGAATAACTATGCATTTGTGCTGAAAATGGAAGACTTTTTCGCTTCTTGGCATTGAGACGCTTGTCAACCATGAATATAGAACCAGTGCGAAAGCCGTTGCGCCAACACGCATTTATTTTCTTACAAGAA